TCCTTGGTGAACTGACAGGTGTCACCAAACTTATGACTGCAGTTTTGTGAAGATGTGACCTTATTTGTTCCCTTTGTGTCCCCCCCCCCCCCCCTCCGAATGCTTACATTCTGTGTCCTGCAGGGATCATCAAGCTGAAAAACAACGGTGACTTCTTCATCGCCAACGAGGGCCGGAGGCCGTTTTACATCGACGGCAGACCAGTGTTGTCTGGGAACAAGTGGAAACTCAACAATAACTCTGTGGTGGAGGTGAGGCGCAGAGAGGCACCTGCTGGGGGTGGAGGAGGATGGATAGAAGCGAGCAGATAGAATTGATAGAACATTGTCAAGTTTGCTGATGACACAACTGTGTTAGGCCTGATCCCCGGTTACAACAAGTAGGCCTATCTTGGAGGTGACAGAACTGTTATTTTGGCATCAGGATAATGTCCCTTTTTGAAATCATGACTGAGGAGTTGATTGTGGATTTTGGGAGGAAACAGCAGAGTAGTGATGGGCAAAATGATACTTAAGAACCATTTGATGTATTTTTGACTCCACTAGATGGTGCTGTTTGTTCAAAAAAGGGCTCAAAGCATGGCTCAAAGCAAGCCAAGAGCGCCATCTAGTGGGGTCAAAAAATACAGCAAATGGTTCATGGAGCTTCATTTGCCCATCACTACAGCAGAGGGGCTACCACCACTTCAGTACCAATGGTGCTTTAGTGGAGGGTGTGGGCAGCTTCAGGTACCTGGGTGCTCACATAACCAAGGGTCTGACTTGGTCCTTGCTTACTGGGGAAGGCATGCATCAAGGCCCTTAACCCTCAGGTCCCTGGGTGCTGCTATGGGTGGCTGCCCTTCGCTGTTGAGCTTGCTCACCTATGGAGAGCAAGACACGGTTGGAGAAAAGAGAATTTTCCCACGGGAATCAATAAAATATAATAATTGCAATTTCATTTAATGTTCATTTCATTTTGTGCCAATGCTTGTGACGTTTCTGGGATTTCAGGCTGGCCTTCCAAATATTAACAAGCTTCTACACAACCACCCCTGGTTTAATGGCTTTTATGAGGACACTGTCTAGGATTTAATGTTTGACCAATGTCCTGCTACAGTCAACTCAACTATATATGTCCAGCCCCTTAAGTACTCCCACTGTACAATTTACATGTGTTAATACTAACTTACTTGACACTTGTACTACCACTCGTCACTTTACTGCTTATTGAACACTATGGTTATTAATGATTATTGTGTAAGGTTTGTTGTTTAGTGTCTCCTGTTACCTAAGTCTTGGAGTCAGGCAACCAAGCATTTTGCAAAACACATTGCATGGAGTATAATTGTATATGTGACAAATATAGGTTTGATTTGAATGTGACAGATAGGACAGCGTTACCTGAAAAGGTCCATATCTGGCCACCTTCGTCACTGCTTTCCAAATCATGCTTTAGATGGTGTTCAGACATGACTCATCAAAAAAACTGAACATCTTGCTCCTCTCTGCCCAGATTGCAGGTCTCAGGTTCGTCTTCCTCATCAACCAGGAGCTGATATCCCTCATCAAAGCAGAGGCAGCCAAGATGAGCCAGCAGTGAACCTGCGCAGACAGGGTGTCCATGGCTGTGAGGCATGTGGAGCTGTGTCTTCATGCCTAAACCGGACCCAGGACTCTGAAAAAGCCAGAGGCGTCTGTCTGGCTTTGGAAATGCCAAAGGACCATGGCAGAAATCAGAATACCCTACTGCAGTGCTGAAGGCAACTGCAGGGCCGCAGCGCTGCGGACGGATGCTTCTGGAACTCCAAGCTGCATTTCAGGCTCTTGATTAGCCCCAATTCAAGGACTTAACCGCATAGATTACATTTTAAACAAATTAACTCTGAGCTTTTTCCCCCCTCAGTGCCTATAGAAAACACTTGGGTTAGAGTAAGAGCCCCCACCTCTGCAGCCAATGCAGGGCTTTTGGATACCGGAAAACAAACGTTGTGTGAGATCTCAAGTCCATTTTTGTTGCCATCTTTACGAAAATAAAGAATAATACTGTAACTTGTACTATTTATTCAAGTGCTGGAAGTTGTGAATGTGTTTAATTGTTATGTTCATCACTTTGAGAATTGTTCCAAACCATTTGAAGCAAGTTTTCGCCAGTTGGCCTTGGTGCTAATTTGTAACGTATGCTGACCACACCAGAAAGAAGACATGGGCAGAAATCACCACCAGCTGCGATTGGACCAGTTCATCCAACAGATTCTTCACAATTACAGTTCAGGATATTCTATTTTTGTAATGTTTTAACTATTTATTCAGAAGTGTAACAAAATGAGTAATCTGACCATAAGTTATACTCCATCTTAGTGTTACTGTGAGCTTGACTGACTCCATAGTGAAACTGCCTTTTAAGAAACTTTGCTTTCACTTCTCTAAGTTTTCAGCGATAAGTAGTCATGAAACCTTCTGTGGAGGGGTGCTTGGTTTCCATCAAAGCACAAGTACCAGTTCGTATTGCCGCTTAAAGACTGAGCATTCGAGAAAATCTATTTGATGTTTGAAGAATTTTGATGCAGGGTAGAATGCAATGTTTCAGTGCATTTTGTTCTTTTATTAATAAAAGTTGCAGCAAACTCCAAAGAGAATCATATCATTACAAACGTGCTGCTACCTCAACCACAGTTCAAGTCCGGATGTTTTCCAAGCACTCGCATGTTTATCTAAAACTTACGCAAAGCAACTTTCGGTATCTGACCCTCTCCAGCAAAAAGCACTCAGCTGTGTAAATAAAGCACCAGATGCAAGGGGACATCATTTTGGAAAAATTAACTCCAGGAATTGGATGTTCTGTCTCCTAATACAATGTGTTGAGGTTAAGTGAGGTAGGCATGCTGCTTGACATAGTAGTCAAAGCCAATTTCTCAGCAAAGTTTATATGGATATTAATACATTAAAGTGTTGCACTCCAGCACTGCTGCGCTAACTGCTGTGTAAACAGCTGACAGCTGCGATTTCAGGAAGGCCAGGATTAAAAAACTCCAGAGCAGCCAGAAGCCACACACACACAGCCAAGATGCTGCATGTGAAACAGGGCTCCTTCCCTAGCAGAAATGGCTCAACAAATGAGTGTGGGCATTTCCAGACCAACAAAGATTCAAGAGTCTAGTGTTTTATTTGCGAAGAGTTTTATTTATAATAAATGAAGCAGGTCAGAGAGGGTGTGCTTGTAGCTCATAATTGAGCTTTGAGGTCAGGTGGTGGTGGGGGGGAAGTTTCTTTGGTCCATATTTCGTATAGAGGGAGTAAGGAGTGAAATGAGAAGACCAAGGCACTTCACGTGTAACGCTCTGTCTCCAAGAGGCCGGTCTGGAAACACAACAGATGTTCACCCAAGAAGTGGGGTGTGTTAAACCGCTCAAGTGAGGGGAATCTACACAAATATCTACTGTAGATACAAAAACAGTCCAGGTTGACTAAGCCCCTTGTTGGTGTAGCTTATGTACATTTTCAAAGAAATATCATACATACAAAGCAATTCAAGGAAAAACATATTTATATTTAATATTTGAAAAGAGATTTGATTTACCAAACACTAATTCTACTGTACTCATTACACAATTTGTCCTTTAGAAAAAAAGTTCATATGAAAATAAATGAAAGTGAAAACTGCTCACAAAGGCAGTAACTCAGACTGAACTTGGTTTCTTTGGAGAATGGCTTTCCTTAACAGAAATGTATGGCCTAATTGAGCAAAGTCTACTACAGGTTTTATTTTAAAACCAACCTCTCATCCAGTTTGATGTAGCAATGCAGACAACAAGCACCTTTTAAAGTGACTCTAAGGCATAGAATGAGCACGTATAACTTTGAAAGGAAATAAAGTCCAAACATTTGGTGCAGCAGCTTGATACGTACACACCCATCCACTAGTCCAGCATTTGAAAGGACGCAGCAGGAAACAGGACGAATCCACTGAGAAATAGGAGGTAAGGCTAAAGGGGCAGCAAAAACCAGACAAGCCATGTCTACTGAAATGGTCGAGCTTCAGAATCAAGTTAAAATCAGTCCAGAACACCTTACCACCTACACATCCACATCATAAAGTTGTTAAAATCCAATGAATGCTAAACAGGACATCCTCTGACTGCATATCTAGAGCCCAAGCCATTGCTACCCACAAATAAGGTCATTGTTTGCATATTTGCAAGCCTACAGTTTTACACATAAGGAGCCAAGAGCATAATCAGAAGTAGTTACCATCTGGACAGGTTCAGAACCAACATACAATAAAATTCACTGACATGCAAGTTACAGCCAAACCCAATGACAAGTGAATTCACTCGTGTCATTCTTACAGAATGTCAAAAAAATTTTGTGCTAAATATGAATTTGTTTAAACCAAACTCCACTTTAACTTTAGTCTAATTGTTACATCTTGAACATTATAATACAATAGTTCACATAGTACATTTTGGCTTTGTAATAAAGTAAATAATATTCAAAACCATAAGAAAAACTACTGATATTTACATTAATTTAATGGGATACTATTCATTGTCTACAGGTCAGGTCAGGTTGGGGAGTATGCACTGATGCAGCGCGTTGCCACACCCACCACACAGCGAAACTCCTCGGGATCCTGGGTGACGACCCCCCAGGCAGACACACGGTCCAGTCCCACCCTCTTGAAATGGCCCTCTATCTGCCGCAGCCAGGTGTTACGTGGGCGTCCCCTCGGCCTGGTCCAGTCGCTTGGGTCCTCAGCAATGATCCCTGCGAGCCGGATCACCCTCAAGAAAACGCGCCACATGGCCGTAGTGCCGTAACTGACCCTACCTCACTGTGCAGGTAATGTGCCTCATTCGGGACTCATCTAGCAGCCGCTCGTTCGACTCAAAGTCAAACCAGCGGATTCTCTGAAGAGACACAGTACCAAAGGAGTCCGGTCTTTGTCTCAGCTCACTGGACAGCGTCCATGTCTCACAGCCATACAGCAAGTCAGAGAGCACCAGAACTCTAAAGACTTGGACCTTCGTCCTCTTGCAAAGACATCAGGAGTGCCACACACCCCTATCCAGCGACCTCATGACCCCCCATGCTCTTCCAATCCGTCTGACCTCATAGGAAGTCACCAGAGACATGAATGTTGCTGCTGAGGTATGTGAATCTCTCAACGAGGTCGTCATTCTCCCTGCAGGCAGGCACACTACTCATGGCTGTGCCTAAGAAGTCATTAAATGCCTGGATCTTGCTCTTTAACCAGGACACCCGCAATCCCAGATACTCAGACTCCTCGCTCAGTCTGCAGACATTTCACAAATGAAGAATCATAATTTTTCAAAATGCATTTGTCCCAAAACGACACTGAGGCATAGGGGCAGAAAACCCTTATCACAAACGCCATTCCATCCTCCATTTTACTTCGGTATGCTCAAGTAAAATGTGAAACTCTGAAAAGTCACCTGGCCCCAACATCAAGCTTCTGCTTCTGCCATGCTGGCATCCTGTCCAAAGATGATTAGCGGCAACATCTGATGGACAATCAGGAGTCAAGTAATTAGCCATCTTCTAATCTAAGCTATGAAATTTTGATACAAGGCTATAATCACAAAAAAGGTTTTTTTGCTAAGTACAAAAGGCAATATCATATAGGATATACAATAGTGCACACTTCAAAATAACTGATTTTGAGTGAAATGCAGAAATGCGTTTACAAGACTCATAAGTAGGAGAAGGTGGACCTTTCCAAAGAGGAAACACAAATATGGTAGAAACATAGATCATCCTGCTTCAAACATGCCCAAGGATTGTCTCCAATTAAGCCTTCCACGATGTGCTCAGAATAAGAATACAGTAACCAATTACATTAATTAAAAAGTATTAAAGGTATCAGTACATTAACAGTAATTATTGATGGAGCACAAATATATTTTAAACCGTAGAGGTGCAGTGGTTCCATAAAAAGAAAGCTGTGTCCAATACGAGTTCATGCAACACGCAGCCGTCCTGGAAATACTTCCTTCAGCATTTCCTGGTCATATCAGATTTGCCATTAGATATGAATAACTGGCACCTCATAGACTTCTGCTTCTTGCATAAACATTAGCCACCTCAAACACAGAGAGGAAATTTAAAAGTAAAAAACTAAAAGGATACAGAGTGTGATTACACTGCTACAAAGTTACCCTCCATGCATTTCCACCCCGGGGGGTAAACCCCCCACCCCATATCATATAATCTGTATATATCCTCCAGAAAAGCAGAGCTTCCCCACACAGCCTTGCAGTGCTCAACAGCTGTTGACTAGAATCAAGAGCTGACAGGGGAAGGCATCCTGCCCCAGAAAATGAAGCAAACATGAAATAGAGACGTTTAGGAAACTGCTAGTGCCAACAGAAACGTGCTAGCTGTCACGGGACAGACTGCAGATCGACTACAGCTAGACGAAGGAGGACCACAGCGAAGCAAAGGGAGATTCAAAGTAAACCTTAACGTGACGATAGAGCGAACACACACACACACACATACAAAAAATGGATTAAACGTAACTGTGATTCTTCATCAGGCCTAATGTGAATTTGAGTGGAGGTTGATGTCAAGGGCGGTGTTCCCGTGGCCGTCTTTGGGGGAGCCCGTTTGGAGTGGTGTTGAAATGCCGGGGCACAGATGTGGCGGTATGCACCAAACCGTTCCTGGCGCCGAGGGTGAGCGGGGCAGGATGAGAGGCACTGTCGGGGGCTGCCATTTGCCCACGATTGTTCTGGTTGCGGTAGTGAGGCCGACTGAGGTTCCGGTCTAGGTGTGGCCCACCATTCATGCTTTGGGCCCCGGGCTGCTGAGCCAGACCCTGGGCTGGCCGAACGCCGCTTTGATGAGCCTGAGAAATGAGGCAGGAGATGCACTGCATTAACCCAACGGTGAAATTACATGAGCAATCTTCTAAAAGCAAGAGACCCAACCAACAGTGCCAGAGAAGTGACAAACACACTGGACACCGTTTCAAGACGTCCTTGAGTGCAGCGCTGTTAAACGATCTCCAGAAGTTTGGCTGTACAACCTGGGGGAAGGAGCCACTTAGTGAATCGCTGTAACGATGCACGGGAACTGAGTGGCGGGGGCTGGGGGGGTTCTGCATGATAGGCCTGGTTTTCCCTCTCCATTATGCACTGCACCGTGGCTTCTAAAGAATCCAAACTCCAGCCAAAAATGGAACCTACTTTCTTAATGACCTTACTCAGCCTCAGAAGGTCCCCACCACCTCATCACACTGGAGCATGAAAATGCACTCTGGCTACCACGCTTGGATAAAAGCCGAGTAGCATCTTGGATCATAAATGAACAGAGCACAGTGCTCTGACGAAGAATAGCCTCACTTACCCCAGGTTTATTTTGTCACACCCCCCCAAATCAGATGATGCTCAGTCATCATAATAAGCAATAAAAACCAACGACTGAGAAGGTCGCAATGTTTTCAAAGACAGCAGAGTCCCTGCACTTAATCAGAGGCTTATAATGAAAAAGCCGGATGTCCGTTTCTTTAAAGTCACCAGGGACTGTCCCAGAGACGGAGGCGGGCTTACCGGCCTGAGCGGCTGGGCCGAGCCATGAGGAAGGACCTGCATCCCTGGTTTGGCTGATCCGACCAGAGGGGACGAGGCTGAACTGCAGAGCGAGCGGCTGGAGTAGCCTGTCTGGGGGTGGTACACTGAAACGGGGGTGGAGGCAGTCAGTCAGCATTTCACAAACCAGATACTGCAGATGCTTAAAGAACCACAGCCGCTCTACACTCTACAAACACAAATGCTGGGCACAACTTTGGGTACAACTAGGGCTGGACAATAATTCGATATCAATATATATCGCGATATA